GAAAAAATTTCAGCCCACGCCCCAAAAACAGTATCTTGATACCTCCTAGAGGTTCTTCTCAAAATTTCCAATGAGCACCCCTGTCCCTTTTATATGGAAGTCCCCTCTGGTCCTACATGCATGCTTTCTTTTGTCGAGAGTAGATGTACCTCATAAATTGCAAGTAATTGTATTTCAGGGGGCCCTGTCAAACATGCACCCTGATCACCTACCCCCCCCCCAACCAATCAGAGACAATTCTGAAGAGGCAATAATAATACATCAAATACAATTTTTCCAGGACCCATCCAGGGTGCTTATTTCCAATTGCAGATTTACTCTTTTCAATTTCCGCAATTGCACAAGATTTTTCATACTTCAACTACATTTTTTGGCAAGAAACATTTAGAGATTCCAAATTTACGGTGAATTCTTAATGCATTTTGTCTGAAATTATTTTTAAATTCCATGATTTAGGACCAGGGTGGCTGTTCAAGGAGGGGCACTTGATTGAGGAGATATGTAGTCTGGTATTTCAAACCCATCTGATCTGTTAAAGTGATGGAAAGTGCAGTAGCAAAACTGCAGCTGCAAGTTGAAGAAAGCTCCAAGAAAAAATGTTACATGCTGCACTTTTAATAGTGGGTGTCGTCCCTACTGGTGGAGGTGCTGTTATTAAGTCTTGTGGAAACTCACTGCTACGAGCAAGGCTGCACCAGTCATCCACATCTACAGTGAAACAAAATGATTGTCATTAAACATGTGGGGCTAGGTGCATGTATAAAACAATCATTTAAATTTCCAACCCTCATGCTATAACAAATAAGACTAGGTCAGCTTGCTAGCCTTAAATTATCCACCAATAACCAGAATTCACCTATAATTTAATCAATATACCTGGATAGAGAGGGGCATTGTAAGGGTGGTCTTGCCATACCATGTAAGAATGCAAACTACAACAATGGCACTTGAGCACTTTTGACTGCTTGACTAGGAGTATTTCTACTCCCCCTAGATCTGATACTAGTCCATTGCAGGGTTGCCCCCAGCCCCAGCTTTAAATTTGCCAGTACCCGTTTATAAATACACCTTGGTGGAGAGAGGTACTGTGAGAGTAAAGTGTCTACGGCTGGCCAGGGCTCAAACCCTGACCATTCAATCAAGAGTAGAGCATACCAGAACCATGAGGCCACCACACCTTCCACACAGATGTAGAATGTAGTTGATACAGAAAGGTCTCTTAACAGCCCTACAAACAGAAACTCATTAAGGCTTTCCTCACCTGCTCCTACAGGACTTGGAGTTAGTCTGTACCAGAACTGAACATCAGTATCGCAGCCTGCTCCAGTGTCACAGTAGAACTCAAATATCACTGTATCTGTTGTTGGACCCCAGCAGTCCACACTTAGAAAGCCACCCTTCAAAAGAGAGCGAAGTCTGAGTTGAGAAACATAATAATTACCGAGTTGTATCATACATCCGCAATGTGTCAAATGGCTCTATCTACAA